ATATAAAACCTGGTCACACCCCCTGGGCGTGGGCCCTTGTTAGCATTGGAATGGCAGAAACGTTAAACGTTATAAGTTTGCCCTACTGGAGCGAGGCATACGTTATGCTAAATAGAGACTTGTCTAAGACTGTAAAATTATATAATATAAGAATGTATCTAAAATTCAGTTGATTAACCACAAAATATACAACAATATTAGACTTGTTCTTTTATAATAAAATCAACTGCTAACTGGCTAAATTTAACGATTATAGCAATGTAGTAGCAAAATGCTGCAGTTCTGTGCTGTCTTTTAAATTTGTGTCGGCATAATTTATACACAAAAGGAAAACAGAAAAAAAAGACTTAAGAAACAAACACAGAGCAAACTGCATCAGGAATGAGATGTTCATGCAGATGCTTTAAATTATTATCTTTGTGTGATTGTGTGTGTGTGGATGTCTAAAGTGTAAAGCACATTGGAGTCCGTGTGGACTTCATAAGATGCTATATAATTTCAAACCATTTACTATTAGAAAATCTGAATGTTGTTTAAGTTTTAAGTTGTTTTTTTTCCCACCATACATTGACCTAATTCAAGTTTCATTCGCATTTTTGAATGATGAGACCTATTTATTTGGTTAGCTGGTATAATATATATTAGACTAGCATGTGATCACGTTCTCTCCATTATCAAATTCAAAACATCAAATACAAAAATATGAATTTAAATTTAAATAAAGCCATTCATTCTTCTAAGACTTGTTTTTAGAAGTGAGGCCTCCAATACATTTATTAACTATTTGTTCAGGACTCTGAGCTGTTCGAGCTGCGAGAGACAATCGAGACTCTGAAGTCCAGGAACGAAGAAGCCCAGGCTGTCATCCATGGGGCCTTAAATAATCCAGACAACACGAAAGGTCTGCACATCAACCAGCTAATCTTTTTGCTTCTCCCTCTCCCTCTCTCTCTCTCTTTCAGTACAATAACTACAGTTTTGTTGTTTTCCCAGACCTGCGAATGCGACGCCAGAACTCGTGTGAGAGCATCTCCAGTCTCAACAGCCTGACCAGTATGTCAAGTGTAGGAAGCTTGAAGGATCAAGAGGCCAAGAAGAAGAAGAAGAAGAGTTGGGTAAGGACAAGTGGCCTTTGTTTTTTTTCAGGCGAGCCTTCCTCCACACAGGCCTGTGTTTGATTGTGTGAACACTGTCCTTATTAAAAGTGACTGAGCAGCATGGATGAAGTATGACGAGTCTTTCCCTCCTCTTTGTTACTTTACTGTTTCAGGTCTTGGAGGTAAGTCCTGTCTCTGTGTAACTTTATGATGTCTTTATTTTATTTATTTATTTATTTATTTGTCATGAGGCATGACGGACCATCCGAAACTACAAACCTGTGCCCATCTCTGCTGATTGACCTCTCACACTGACAGTTGATCGGCCGCCTAGTGTAAACATTTAAAACAACAGACGTCTGTATTTCACTTTAAATGGCAAACAGCAGAAATGATGCATAATAAAAAGGAGTTTATAAATCCTCCCAATTTACTTGTTTAACTTGTTATGGGTTTCATACTTTATTAAAAGCAGATCTAGTCTCCGTTGTGACCAACATCAGTTAATGTTTACTGACCCAGAACCTTTGGTATCACCCACAATGATGGAAAATTTAAAGAAATGGTTTGTCAGTTGGGGAATTTACCACTGAGACAATGCAGCATTATAGAAAAATGAATAAAAAAATACTAATTACCATCTTACAAACTTTCTTAATTCCAAATAAATCAATAAGTTGGGATTTTGTGAAGTGCAACACGTTGAAAAGTGACAAACTATTTCTTTAATATTATGCATGTTATTAATTATTTTAAAGGGGACATATCATGCAAAATCCATTTTTTATCCATTAAATGCATTTTGTTGTGTACTTGGAGTCTCTAGGATTTCAAAAAATTGAGAAGCCACTTATTTGGATTTAAAGAAACAGCCTCAAAATGAGTTGCTCTGAGACCTCAGAAAGAGGGTGAAAGAGGGGCTTGTGGAGTTAAATAAGGAGAAATTCAGACCAAAGCATTGCAGTTCCACTTTATACAGACCCCAGCTGAATGACTCAAAAGTGAAAAAGAAGGATAGCATGATGTGTCTACTTTAACTTCCCAATTTTTTGCCTTGTGGCTGAATGTTGGTCGTATCTCTGCTTATATCCATGAGTCTGCTTTTGTGTTTCTGTGCAGCTGAGGAGCTCCTTCAACAAGGCTTTCAGCATTAAAAAAGGCTCCAAAACCTACTCAGACATTGAGGAAATCGCCACTCCAGACTCCTCGGCTCCCAACTCCCCAAAGATGGTTCATGAAGGAGGGGAGGCGGGAGAATGCCAACCCCCGTCCCTCAAAATGTCGGCGTCTGCCACCTCCTCAGTGTAAGTAAAGAAACAAGAACAAGCAGCAGATTTGAGCATGTCGGTCTCTGACGTGGGCATCTTGGCCGCTCTAGGATCATGGAGACGACAGAAGAGGGAGACGACGGTGAAGCGGCGGTGTCGGAGCTACGGTCAGAGCTTTGGGAGAAAGAGAGGGCGCTGACGGACATCCGGTTAGAGGCCTTAAGTTCTGCCCATCAGCTGGAGCAGCTCAGAGAAGCCATGCACAACATGCAGGTTTGTTTCACCTCGAATCAWTGAATCAGTACATTAGCCGCAATTGAATGTAAACCTCAAATCTTCCTCCGTTCCAGTCAACGGTGGAGAACCTGAAGGCAGAAAATGACCACTTGAAAACAGGAAGTCAGCTGAATTTCTCTAGTTCTGGTCCCACCTCGTCCACGTCGCAGCCCTCGGGCCTGGCCTCGCTCCTGGCACCTTCTCTGAGGCAGCCAATGAGCATGTCCCTCACCAAGTCCTTTAGCCTCAGTCTAAATGATTGTAAAGATCCAGGTAAATTACGAATAGTAAATTTCATCAAATTTAACCTCTGCGCCAGTCTTTTATGAATAAATTCATTGTTTGCTTTCATTTTTCAGAAGTGTCTTCTTGTGACTCGCTAAATGTTTCTCAGCGCGAGGAAGTGTGCGCAAAAGTATTGGTCCGTCTTGCAGATCGAACAGAGGTAAACATGAAACTGCTTTGACAATAGTCAGGTAACAAATAAGCTTTTTGTTAAACAGTTGATGTTCTGTTGGGTCTGCAGGATAGTAAACGACAACAGGAGTTCTATCTGGGCACAGTGTTGGTCAGTCCAAGGACTGAATGGACATCTCTCGACTCGCTTATAGCAAAGATCTTTAAAGTAAGTGTATTTTTGTCTTCGAGCAGAGGTTCAACAGAGGCTTGGATTTGTTAAAAGAGTTGTGTTTGTCGTTTGTTCAGGATTATTTAAGTCACTTGGACCCGGCGGCCAGCCTAGGTCTGACCAGTGAGTCCCTGCACACGTATCAGCTGGGCCTCGGAGGACAGAGGGTAATGGGAGGGGACAGACCTCAGGCCTCTCCATTTCAGTGTTTCACCAGTGGTGCTGCTCAGATTTTTGTCACCTTAAAAGGTTAGCAATTCACACAAGGGCGTAGGGGGCTGCATGTCCTTTTCAGCAGTTATGCTTAAACGAACATATGTAACCCTGCAAATTTTTAAATCAGGTCAAAGTTACCTAAATAAAACAAGAGAGTTGCATCTGTCTACTTAACCAGTTAATCAGTGTGCGTTGCCAATGCAATGCACACTATTATGATTCGTTTCCCATCCAAGTCATGTCCACTTTAGCATGCTTCTCCTCCTGCGTACTTTGTCCTAGAGCTGCCATTGTAATTTATATCTGTAAAGCTCCTGTGCTAAATGATGGCTATAACTGTTGGTGCCTGTACAACTTGTAGTTTTTGAAATATTAATGTTTAACAATTTATAATGGGAGTCAATGGAGCCTTGTATTGTTCCAATACTGCCCCCCTGCTGTATCTACACAGTACTGAATGATAGTTTAATAATATTTAGTCTCAATAGTTCAGTGGTTACAATACTAATATGATTCTATTTTGATGTTTTACTATAATGTTGTCCTAATATTGCTCTATTGTTGTAATATATTGAAGTTTAGTGTCAACAATTGCATTGGCGATGTAGCCCCTTTCTGCACACATACAAACCAACCCCTGGCAATGCCCTCTGCCACAGCTCAAATGGTCTAATGGTTAACTCTGTGGACTTTCCTGTGGGAGAGCAGGGTTTAAAAGCCAGCTACAGCAACTTTAACAAAAAATCTCTACAAACATCATATTGTCACACAATTATCTTCATTACAAACACCTGCTGACCTGACAAGCACAAGCTGGTATAGAAAACACATTTGAACTTGGTCACAGTTCATTCTGCAAGTCCACTGCTTCAGGAAAAGCCATGCTACAAGGCAATGCACACTTGTTTTTACATCGAAAAAAAAAATACATCGTGAAAACCCATGTCTAGTTTCTATTGTGTTTGAGAAAATTGTCATTTTTATTGGGGGGGGGGGTGTCTGTTGAATGGATCAATTTATTGTGAGGGTCATTTAGCAGAAATATGTGATGATTCTGAATACTTTTTTGAAGAAATTACAAAACTTTATTGCAAAAAAATGCAGATTTTTTAAAAATACACTAATATAAATTAAAAATAACACAATTTGTAAAGACTGTAAAAAATTAAAGCATCATACCTTAAAAGTCTAGTGACTGTTAAGACAATTTTTTAATTGTCTGACAATATATTTGAGTATTTAGAGAGGAACAAATGCAAATTTCAGAACAAGTGGAACAGAGCCAATTCTGAAACGCTGACCAAAAGTTTTTATTGGCTCATTGACTGATGAGGCCCCAAAGCTTTTAAGTTATTTCTTCTTCTTCAAAGGTTCTCCTTTATACATGTGATAATACATAAAAGCCTCTTTTAACAAACTTATTTGTATTCATTTCCATTCATTTTTAATCGCCTAAAAATGTCAGTTTTTTGTCTTTGTGCATTCATTAAGTCGCACAAAAAAAGGCTAACTTTATTCAGATTAGGATACAAAACTGTTTAAGGCATTTTAATTATTTGCATTAACACTGAAGAAGTATGTCCTTGACCTGTTCAAATAAAAAAAAGAAAAGAAAAGAAAAAAAGAGATGAACAAGTGCTAAACATGAATCCTCCTGTCCAGGTCTCAGAGAGAACAGCATTGACTCTCTGGTGTTTGAGACTCTCATTCCGAAGCCCATGATGCTGCACTATGTCAGCCTGCTGATGAAACACAGACGGCTGGTTCTGTCTGGGCCCAGCGGGACTGGAAAAACATATCTGGCACAGCACCTGGCTAACTACCTCCTGCAGCGCAGCYGGATCGACTCGTCGGACGCTGACCATGATTCGTGTGTTCTGGTTCGCAGTGCTGCCGTCACCTTCAACCTGCACCGCCAGTCACAGAAGGTAAAACACCAAAACTCTTATTGTTTAGTTATTTTTTAGAATCATACTTTATAATGACCACACCTCATTTAGCCTTAGTAATCAAAACATCATTAATTAAGGATGCTTCTTTCTTAAAAGGATATAAATTAACAATTTATTAATGMTTTACCCATAAAAACTAATTATTTCCAAAACCAACATACTCACTGTTTATTCATTCTTAATAACTCGTGAAATAACACTTCTCTGTAATGTGTGTATGTAATGCTAACATAAATGTACTTTTACATCTTTTTCACACACAGGACTTGCAGTTGTATTTGTCAAATCTGGCCAATCAGATTGACAGGGAGAGCGGAGGAGAGCTGCCATTGGTTGTTATTATAGATGACATCAGTGACCCAGCTGCCATCACTGAGCTTGTAAACGGAGCACTCACCTGCAAGTACCACAAATGGTGAGCCCTTCAGCTCATTCTGCTATGATTGTTAAAGTAATGATTAATTCATAAAACCTAAACTTTTTATCTTCTCTCATCGTTAATATTTCAGTCCCTACATTATTGGAACAACCAATCAGCCTGTGAAGATGACGTCTAATCACGGGCTGCACCTCAGCTTCAGGTAAGCTGGTGAATTTTTCTCCTAATTCTTATATATTTGCACAGAAGAGAACGAGTTAATTTTTTGCCTGTGTTGATAGGATGGTTATGTTCTCCAACAACGTGGAACCAGCCAATGGGTTCCTGCTGAGGTACCTCCACCGGAAAGCTGCGGAGGCCTACCAGGAGGAGGGGCACGATTCAACACACCACCAGGAACTTCTCCATGTCCTCGACTGGATCCCTCAGCTATGGTACCACCTGCACGCCTTCCTGGAGAAACACAGCACCTCAGACTTCCTCATAGGTGAGACAGGTTGGACGCGGGGTCGGATAAGTCTAACCGAGTCCAAAACAAACGCCTAAAAGTGTTGCTTCCTTCAGGTCCCTGCTTCTTCCTGTCATGCCCCGTGTCCGTGGAAGAGTTCAGGCAGTGGTTCATCGACCTGTGGAACCACTCCATCATCCCGTATCTGCAGGAGGGAGCCAGAGACGGCATCAAGGTGAGCACTCTGACGTGCGACACGTGAGGTTTCGAGACGTTCATCAGGAAAATACAGTTCCAGTTGTGTTTGTTCTCTCAGGTACACGGTCATAAAGCWGTGTGGGAGGATCCGGTGGAGTGGGTGAGAGGCACTCTGCCCTGGCCCAACGCACAGCAGGACCAGTCCAGACTCTTCCACCTACCTCCTCCAAGCATAGGGCTGACCACTGAGGAGAAGAAGTCGCCCAAAGATTCACCTCCGCCCAACTCCTTGGAGTCAGACCCACTGGTGAGGGAGCGTGTGGAAGATGTGTCCCACTTCAGACTAATTTAAACACACAAAGTGAATGTTTACAAATCAAAGCTTCGTTCATATGGTAGCTATTTGAGAAAAATACGAGCAATTAATATCTTACCTGTTTTAGGYAACCTTTTAAATGGCCTCAGAACAATGCTGAGTTGCAATCAGAAAGAGACTCCCTTACTGTTTGGATTTTTTTAAAGAATTTATTTAAATTTGAGGTTTGATTCACTGAGGCTTTGTGTTTCCTCCTGTCTCCCAGATGGCCATGCTGCTGAAACTCCAAGAATCAGCCAACTGCATTGAGTCTCCAGAGCGGGAAGGCTGCCTGGATCCCACTCTTCAGACGACACTCTGAGCTAACAGCCCACAAAGATTAAAAACGACAATAAAGACTTTGTATTATTGCAGACACTAAGTCCCAGTGCGTTCAAATGACTGTGTTGCCAGCTTTGCTGTGTGCTCAGTGAGCAGACTCAAAGGTGAGGAGGAAATAAGTTGGTCCTGTTTTGAGAACATAGAAAAGACAATAAAACTGCTCTCATGTGAAGCTGTAGCCGTCACTTCGAGGAAAGCGGCAGACCCGGAGGTCTTTCCTCGTGCCTCAGTTTGTCCCGAGTGGGTTGTTGTTTTAATCTGCAAGTGCATGGTGACTGGAATAGTATGATGCAAAAATATTACTTGTAACATTGTTTATCAGAACCCATTTGCTTCCTTTTGTTTTTTTCGATCAATGGCTGCAAACTTCACAGCTGCTGGTGCTTCACAGGTTTTCTTTGAAGGCACACCCATCATTTTGGTAATTAAAGAACCTGTGTCTGGCAGCCCCCCAAAAAAGCAGGACTGTCACTCGACAGCAGCCCAGATGCACTTTATTTTCTACATGTGAAAATTGGATTTTAGAGGGCTGTGTCGGTGAACATGTGTCAAATAAGAGGGGATGCCAATTTGATTCAAAAAGTTGCAGTTTTTGAGTAAATCCAATAGAGGGCAACATCTGTTAAAAAGCTCTCAGTTTTACTTTTTATTAATTTTTTTATTGTCAAAGGTGCTCAGATTAGACACTTTCTAAAATCCAATTGTGAACATGGCCTTGAATGTTTTCTTCTTTTCAACTCAGCTATTTTTTATTATTTTGTTAATTATAGATCAAATATCGGAACTGTGAAGCTGTAAGGGGAACATGCATGGGTGGATAATGGCATGAATCACTTTCAGTGTGAAGAAGAAAAAAAACACCGTCAGAGGGCTCAGTACACTGACCTCATGGCAGAAATGCAACGCTGATACAATAACTGCTTGTTGATCAAGTCTACCATTTCTGGCTGTGCGTTTYTAACGGTCTGTTCTCTAAAAACGAACTTCTCTTGTGAAATCTGAGCATTACCACTTTGAAAAGTCTCAATTTTTGTAGGATTTTTTTGTACTGATTTCTCTACTTGACGAACACACAAACGTCTCTAAGTCCGAGCGAGACCCGCTGTCGTGAATGTCAGATCATTTTTCATGCGCCGTCACACAATGAGGAAGTGGAGAAGACATGGTCAAAAGACACGCAGAACATTTTCCTTCCTCTTTGCCTTTCATCACATGATTAATAGTTTTATTTTTTGTTGTTTCCCCCAAAATAGACCAGTCTCTTTTGTCATGCATTAAGATTTGAATAAGTGGCTTCCTCCCTATTTTATTACTTCATTTGTTCTCACAAAATAATAACTCCAAAAGTAGGAAACTGCAGTTTTTATTGCTCATATCTTGACTGTTAAGTGATAAAAGATGAAATGTTTATTGGAGGAGGAAACTGTTGGAAATAGAGAACTGTTTGACCCTGACRTACCTCAGACTGCCATAAATCTGTCCAGATGTTTTGGTACTTTCCAATGAAGATGTTGGTGTAGAGTAGAAACAAGATGCCTAAGTCTTATCAGTGCCTGAAACACAAATTCTGCCACTCGGAGGCCTCAGTTATGGAGGAAGCATGTTTGCGTCCTCTCACCTGCTCTGATGTCACGATAATGCCGTCACCTAGATGTTCGGGTGCAGAGTAGGTTCATGGACCTTCGACAGGTAGATAAGCTGTCAGTGAAGATGATGTGTGAGTCGGTGAATGAGAATATGTATCAGAACTGGGCTGCTGGTGTGCAATTTGATACGATCTCGTAAAAAAAATTGACTTGGGTGTAAGAACAGATTTCAGACAGAGCTTGAGATGCATGAATCCCTTTCTTTCATTRGACCTACCACATGTTAAACCTTACCGTAAGAGATTCTTATTAACTGGATATCTTCCGTTTTTTCTTTCTTTTTTAACTTTAATTTTAATAGCAGATTATTTTTCCTCTTTGAAATGTTTGTAAAGTTTTCTTTTCTTTTCTTTTTGTACATGACACCGCTATTGTAAACACTGTAAATAGTCACCGCATATGCGACAACAATCACAAAAGTGATGAGAGCTCAAAGAGAAGCTTGGCCCACATATGCAGAAAAAGGGCATCCTCTGTGGTTTTATAGTCTTCCTCCCACACGATGGAGCACTTGGCTTAAAAGTGGGCCTAACAGTGGTTTTGTGTCATCTCTCTGTAATCACATCAGATCCCATATGTCTAATTTTAAGCACTGGACATAATAAAAATCATGCCATTTTTTTCTCCACACCACCACCTGTCTTGATTTTTGTTTCTAGGAGTGCATTTTATCAACCATGAGAAATCTTGTTTATGCTTAATGTTTCGCTTTATTTCATGTTTAAAAATTGAGACGATTTATTAGAAAGCTTGGGTTTATTTAAACTAATTTATTAATGTTTTAAAAAATTTCTCTTGGAAGATAAAATGTAAAGCAACCTATATTTTACATTACATGTTGTTTTTCTTAGACTGCAGCATTTACAGTATGTTAAAGAAGCCTATAACTGCCACTTTAATTTAAAATAATGATTCTCAAATTTATAATTAACACACCGCTTTTGACTGCTGGAGATAGATAGCAGCTCCTCAGGCAACCTGGAAAAGAAAATGGTAAAGAAATTGGATTATGGCAAGAGAAGCTGCATTTACTGCAAAAATGCAGTGTGAATGCTTAATGCTGTAAGATTTTTACTTAAAGGAGAAAGCTGAAATGTTTAATAGCAAAGCTGGTGATGTGAGTTAACAGTTGAGTTCTGCCGAATGTAGCAATCAAAAGTAGCACAAACACGTTGACATTAGCAAACAGATTGTGAAAGGAGTGTAAAAAAGCTCACACTGGCAGAAAAAAGATACAAAAAAGTTTCAGTTGGTTGTAAAAAAAACTAAATAAGCCTATATTAGAAGAAAAATAACTTTAAAAAAAGTAGCTGGAATAGTGTAAAGATGCAGAGCAAAATTGCTTAATTAAGCTGTAAAAACAGAATTTGTCTTGTCGTGGAAATATTTATTTAACAAAGACAGAAAAACGTGGTCCAAGAATGAAGGCACTCCATGGAATGATCAGCTGAGTTTTATTTGCAACAACAGGAACACAGAGAACAACATCGAGCCATCAGACTGTCCCCCTGCACTCTGCTCCTGCTTCTGCTTCCTTTGAGGCAGTTGAGGCCTCATATACTGTTTAACAAACACTATTATGTCATTTTAATAAAGCAAGATTCCATCCTAAGGAAATGCTGGGTTAAAAAAAAAACACAAAGATAAAAACAAGTGATATCTAAGAATGACTGTTGTTAGCAAATCTTGTTCTGACGTCAATCATTCTATCTACTGATAAACAGCGTGACATGAAAACCTAGGTCATCAAAGTACGTCATGAATTACTGGTTTAAACCTAAAAGTATTATTTCTATAATAGTCTCAAAAGGTGAATTTAGATGAGTAAAGCTACAATTGGTTAAAAATGGCTACAAAGCTGCTAAAAAGGCCAAAAAAAAAAACCAGCTTAAATTAGCAAGCTGGTAAAATGTTTATCTAAAAGAAGAATGGCTGAAAGCCCAAGCAGATTACTGAAAAAGCAAAAAAAAAAGTTATAATTAGGAAAAAAAAGTTGAAGGAGTGGCTCAGTCATAATTGTGAAATAGTGTCCCATAACTCTGATTTGGAAGATCTTTATTGGCTTGAATGGGCTTCCATAGATTTGTGGTCCACAAGAGGATACAGATGAAAACATGGCTGAGGTGAGTGGGAGTGTGAGGATGGGTGGAGTTCTCCACAATCTCTCTCTCTCTCTCTCTCTCTGTATATGTATATATATATATATGTTAGTGAGGACTCCCCTGGCTCCTGATACAGGACAGTCTGTCAGAAAGATGCCGAGCAAACCTGCTCCCATCAAAAAGTCTGCAGCCAAGAAGGTTGCAGAAAAGGCACCTGAGCCTGCTCCAGTGCCTGAACCTGCTCCTGCTCCACCTGCAGAGTCACCGGCTGAGACAGTCCCTGCAGCTGGGGGGGAAGCAGCTCCTGCGGCTCCAGAAGAGGAAACAACTCCAGGTATCTGAATACCTCATAGAAAATGAGCAGCAAGCTAAACTTAGTATTCACACTTAGCATCAGAGTCAAATTTTCTCAAATAAAAAACAGTATTAGTTTTTCTAGAATCTGTTCATGAGGCGCATTGAATGAATCTTRTGGTAATCTTGGTGACTAAAATCTGATCTGTATCATATTTATTTACACCACAAACTGCCATCTTCAAAATGTTTTAACATTTATCCTTTTTTAATGTCATCTTGTAGAAATATAAAAAAGGTGATTGTCATCATTGATTTGTTTATCAGAATGACCGACAGAGATATTTTTCTGCTAATCACCATCCAGTGGTGGACAGTAATAGAGTACATTTACTTGAATACTGTACTTAAGTATATTTTTTGAGTATCTTTACTTTACTTGGTTAATTATTTTTGGGTGAACTTAGGACTTCCACTCCATTACATTTCAAAGACAAATATTGTACTTTTGACTCCACAAGATTTTTTAGAAGCTTTTTAGTTACTTGTTACTTTTGGCTCAGCATAGCTTTGTGATCCACTTTTGCTGTTTTCCTTTCTTGAAATGCATTTGGCCACACGTCATAGCTCACACCTGGGATAGATTTGGAATTACATCATTCTCGTTAACGGTGACGAGCTGAGCTCCACCTTCATTTCAAACAGAACCCAGCAATGGAGACGGCTGAAGAAACTCAAGTGGAGAAACCAGAGCAGCATGGCCATGTCTCAGCTCGATGTTTGAGTTTTTAAGACTGAAAAATAGTTTGTATCTGTTTAAACGTCTTTTCTGTTCACCATGGATAAACTACATTTCTGCATTTAAGAACTCACCACTCCCTTTATTGCATTTTTATGCTGAAGTCTTTACAGGTGGTGTAGAATTTGTAGCAGGGTGGTTCAATGTGTCGATACATCAGGTAGTTTCTRAGAGTTACAAGGTTCTGTAAATTCACTCTGAAAACAATACAGCAATGTACTGATATTAGACAATTCAATTTGTATTTTTGAATACTTGAGTATTTTTAAATGCATGTACTTTTTAATACTTAAATATTTTCAAAAGTAAGTACTTCAGTACTTTAACTTTAGATTTTTGACCGAGCAACTTTTTCTTGTAGTTTAAGATTTGACCATGAACTTAAGTACTAGAGTTGAGTACTTTGTCCACCACTGTCACCATCTAACCTCTAACRTCAGCTGGTACCACTGAGGAAGAAACAGGCTCCACACATCAGACTAGAAGAGTCAACACACACTAAACCTCTCCACACACAAGCTGTAATATATGAAGATATTAGACTGTTGTGATTAGCATGTGCCACGCATTGCACTATTTGTGTTTATCGTATTACCTGTTGTCTTTCTGTCTGTAAACTTTATGCCATTTAGGATAGAGTTTATACAACTCTCAAAGTTTGTGGGTTTGGACTTGAAAYGCTTCTGTGATGACAATATAAATCTAAATATAAGTTATTTATTTTTGTCGCAGTGAGTAGGCTTTTTTTTCATCTGCGCTCAGTCCTGCTGCTAGGCTTCAGTAGCTTTCACGTTGATCAAATTAGCAAGRAACTCTTTGATTTCATGCACCAATCTACTTTTAACAGCTTCTCTAACTGCATTTTAATGCTAGCTTCTGCTCCTGCTGCTGAAGACAATGATTCCGCCGCAGATGATCCAGCAAATGGTAAACATACAGAACAAAACATAACAATGTGTTACAAAGGAACAACTGTGAGCTGAGCTATCACTACATGGAAAAAGATGCTCGGGGTTTAACTCCTTGTTTGTTGAATTACAGCTGCTCCAGCAGAAGCTGTTGTAGTTGAGGAGCCACCTAAAGCTCCCACGCCTCCTCCCCCTGCAGGTAACGCCACCATATCTGTCAGCTTGGTTTTKCGTTTGCTCACCCAACAAGAGACATGGACAGAATGAGAGAAATATCTTAGTATATTCTAGAATCTGCAGAAAAAAGATAATATCATTCGTAAAATACTAAGCCGAAACAAGTACATCGTTTTTGTTGTCTCGCCAGCTAATCWTTCACCTTTTGTGATGCTTACTGTTTACAGCTCCCACCAGTGCTCCTCTGGATGTGTCTGTGGATGATGTGAGTGACTGCAGCCTCACCATTAAGTGGACAACACCAGAGACTGTGGGAGCATCTGGCTTGAATGGATACACTGTTGAGTACTGTAAGGATGGAGGTACGTGTGTGCATGTGCAGCTGCACCTGTCCCCAGAGTGTCAGAGGGCAGACAGATTCATTGCTGGGTGTAGACCGTATACGGCAGGCGTCAGTCTCTCGCCGTATCCCTTGATACTGCTTTTAGAAGTGCCCAATTGCTCAGATGACAGCGTGCCGTCTAGAATTTCATCATGTTGGTCCTTACTGTACTCCTTATGGGCAGGTTGTTTGTAAAACTGTGTGTTGACAGGTGATAAACCACTTAACATGTCCCATGGAGGAGCGATTAACATTTTGGAAATGAGAAATGGACACATGAGCAAATTCACACCCGTTTCCAAACCGTCATGGGATGCAGACGCACTTAAAAGTGAAAATTACTCCCCAAAGCCCAACATGAGCATAAATCTTCTGTTTCCCTTCAGAGACTGAGTGGATCGTGGCTAACGAGGAACTGACCCCAGCCAACCGCTACTGCATCAGGAACCTTACAGCGGGCGATCTGGTGAGAGTCCGCGTGGTGGCCGTAAACCCCGGCGGGCGCAGTGAACCCGGTGTACTCCCTGRGCCCGTGCCAGTCCGCGAGGTTGTTGGTGAGTGTCACCCAACGTCAACCCCCTTGAGTCAAGGTCATCAACTTGTTTTTCAGATTTGTACAAGAAAACAAACCGACCTTTCAATGTTGGTTGATGGAAAAAGAACGTCTCTTTCTGTTGCGCTGCAAGTCCAACTGTACAACATGTCCTGTGCAGAAATGTCTAAAGTTCAGTATTACTCTGGTGTAAAGCCAACTTATAAAATGTCTGTCAAGAGTTCTGTGATAGCTGTAACTAATGACCTGCCCTTAAAATACTCTTGTTGCAACCAGCAAACCAGCAAAGGTGGAGGTGGTATTAAGTGCCGGCCTCAGATGGACTGCACAGATGTAAATCCAGCAGGTGCTGACAGGTGCTTTCATTAGCTGTAAATCAAGCTTCCACTTTGATATCTTCACAAGCGGCTGCACTTTTCAGCACAAATGACACGACTGAGTGCTCAGATTTATTTTCAACAGTGTATTTATTTAATAAATTAGAACCTTCATTCCTRAACTTACTGTGTAAAACTGAYTGGAAATGTGTTAACATTTRACAAAACAAACAAAAGAAAATGCTWCAAACAGATAAATTATAAGTGTTTTTAAAAGTGCCATTGTGTGAATGGCAGTGACCCAAATCCATTAAAATGAGCACCATTAGGTAAGATTAAAACACTGCAGTGGATCACTCTGGGCCACAGCTAAAACCGATGAAAGCTTCATCAATCCCGAGTGCTGCAGGAAGTMGAGCCACCCATGAAGAGTCTGGTGCTGTCAGTCTTCAGGATGATTTAAAGGCAGCTTCACTCGGGTAAAAGAAAACATTTGGATAATGAGCCTTTTGGTTGTCATGTGATTTACTAATATTACCCTTGTCGCTGCAGACTCCCTGTCAATTTATTTATGGCACTGTCTGCTCTAGTCTTATTGGTTTCTCCCACACTGGCAAAGTGACATTATACTGTACATGCAAACTAAATCTGACACGGTGGGTAATTATTCAGCTGTTGTGGTCCTGATTACAAATCAGTTTTATTGTTCCCAGGCAACTATTTTTACTGAATGCATTGGGTCAAAAAAGTATGTTAGGTAAGAAGAAAAGGTAAAGAAGAAAAAGTAAAAGAGTAAAAACTCTTTTTCTTATCAGATATTACCTTCACTATATGCATTATCTTAAATATTAACCATGTTTTCATCAATGATATCATTGACTGTATTTATTTATTTATTTATTATTTTTTATTTTTTATTTATTGTTTTTATTTTTTGCTTTTAGCTTTTTGCCAAAACGATCAATGGAAATGGAAAGATCTTCTATAAAAATTCAGAAATTTTGAAAGCACTTAAAGTTTAAGTATGAATGATCAGTTGTAGAGATGAGACGAATGGCTCTTTAAAGGGATCCAGATCTTGACATTCTGTTTGTTTCATGAAATTGTTCAGTAGAGCCGTCCAATTTTGAACGGGTTTTGTCACCATGTACACCATGTGTCATTGCGTCACGTGGGCGGAACCATGCGTATTGTTAGGCAGAACACCCTTCCCCTTTCAAACTGAGCTGTTGTACTCCACCCCTCTGCATATTTTTCGTGAAAAAGCAAAGGGGGAATGGTTGTCTCTGTGGTTAAGAAGGAAACATAAAGATATTACAAAGAGTTAAAAGAATTACAAAATAGAACTACTGTCTTCAAATCAGTTCCTGTCGTTTGTTGTAAGAAACTGTTCAAAAGACTCGGATTGTACGAACATCACATTTCTAATCTTTTTTTTTTTGTCTTCAAAAATAAATGTTTGCCTATTTCAAGCTGATTTAACAACATAAAAATCATAAATTGCATACTTTTTTTTTCCTTTTCTAATAGATGGCTTTGTTATTGTGCCAGTGGCTTTTGCTTTAACCAGTGGTGGGCACAGTTCCCCTAAAGCACTAAAGCACAAATAGGGGAAATAATTTCCTGATTAGTGGTTCAGGGCTTTTGCTAATTTAAAAATTTATTAGTGGATTAGCACTTGCTAAATTTATAGGCTAAATTTAGAAGCACTAACTGAGGCCTATAAATGTTATTGATCAACATTAATGTTAACAGCTGACAGTGAAAGCTGTCACACATTTTGTTCATTTGTGTTTTACTCATCCACAAGATGACAATATATTGACTATTTGAACCCAAATATGGCTGTGGAATGTCAAATGATAAGTCTTAAGAGAGAAATATGTGACTCATGTTGTCTGTTGAAGAATGTTCATGGGTTGACTGGGTTGTTTTAATGCTTTAGAATTAGCTTTTGCTAAAACTTTCAGTGCATTAGAGCTTTAGAATTAGGAGACCTAAATATTTGAGTTAGTGTTTTGAGCAAGTGGAACTAAYTTTTAGATTAGTGCTGCCCACCACTGGCTTTAATATTATTTATCCAGGTGGAAGTCTCATTGAGATTAAAAAATGTTGGTTTTTTTTCAAGAGATTTGAATGTTATTCCACATATTTGCTTCTAATGTTCCTGCTTCAGTTTTTATTAATAGATGTGGCTTAAAATGCACATTGGTTTGTTTTAAAGCACAAACACTCTGCTGCACTGACATGGTCGTCAACCTGAGTAGACACACCCATGTTATCCACTTTTAGATAAACAGCTTATTGCCTCTGATGGTATTTCCTGTTTGTGGTTCAAACCACATAAAAACCTTTTGAGGGACAAGTGCGGTCGTATAAACAGGAGTGCTGGACAGCTGAGAGGAGTGAAACATGAACCTAATTGGATTCTAGGTGGTATATTCAGCTCTGTGTCAGCCACGCAGCCACTTGCACAAACTGATTGAGACAAACTGTCCTACATGTGCTGAAAGACCCCCACAGCCCACACACAAAGACCTTTTTTATCCAGAGACAAAGACAGATTACATATTGTTTCCAGTAGCACTCAGTGGCTGCTGGATGTTGTAATTCCAGCAACGCGTCTGGACATTGCCAGCAGATTTGTTGATTATCAGGGATCAGTGTTTGAGCCAAATCTGGAGGTAGACCTGATCTTCCTGGGAAACGATGGCTTCAAAAGCTGAATCCCGGCTTTGGCAACAAYGGTATGGTGACAAATGTTTAGGACAAGGGCTGATAAGACATGCTGGGCAAGACAGGGAGAAAATAGAGCTGTGTGAGGAAGATGAAGAGGAAGTCAATGAGGTGTGAGCTCAGAGTGAGTTTTGAGTTGATCAGCAGAAACACCAGGAGAGGGACTGGTTAATGTATCTTTTAAGCCCACCGAGATATTGAGACATTTGCTGTTTGTGCAGAATCATGTAAAGGATGCTGTCCGTGATACTTGAGCAAAACCAAACCAGCCTGCATGCTGGTGGTGTGGATGTTGCACAAAGTCCCACACATGATGCAATTTCATACAGACGATTCTGTTCATGGGGAAAAAATGAGCGGCACTCGTAACTGACTCTAGATGCGATACTGATCAGCTGAAAGTGATGACGTTGTTTTGCAGGGTCTTTGCACATGACTCAAGGGTGCATGTGTACGGCTCCAGCCAAGGCRTTCTTGTCGCCAGAGCTATTTTAAGAGCTGATGAATGCAGGGCTTTCCTGTATTCCCTCTCTCTGCCCAGATACTGTCGTTTTGTTGATCGACTTAAAAACCATGTAACTCAGAAAATTTTATACATTTCCTGGATATACAACAGAGTTTGTTTCATTGTGTGTTGTTGGCTGGTAATTGTAGCAAATTTAAAAAAAAAACAAATTACTTCATACAGGAAATTCAACATTTCTTTGGATGTTACAGGAGTAAAAATATACATGAATGTGACAGGGACTAAGCATGTTCGCCTCAACATTTCAGATCGACCCAAGATCCGCTTGCCTCGCGCTCTCAGGTCCCGATACATCAAGAAGGTTGGGGAGCAGATCAACCTGGTCATCCCATTCAACGTAAGCTGACATAAATGAATGAAAACTCTGCAAACATTACATTTAATCTAACATTTCTTGCTTTTTAAATCGCTTCCTCAGGGAAAGCCCAAACCTACAGTGACCTGGCTGAAGGATGGCCAGCCTTTGGATGCAAAGCGAGTCAACATCAGGAGCACTGACAGGGACACCATCATGTTCATTCGCAGTGGTCAGAGGGAGGATTCTGGTGTTTATCAGGTCATGGTTAAAGTGGACAGCTTTGAAGACAAAGCAGACTTTACCCTTCAGATTGTAGGTGAGTCGTATGTGTGGTCATGTACGCAAGAAATATGTGGATGCAATATGTTTATTTGACCTTCCTGATGAATCTCACTGGTTGACTTCTTGGATCTGAACCTTGCAACTTGYTCCAACAGTAAACAAATTCACCTCTATCACTATTCTGAGTAATCCAGAGTTTAACGTTTCTAATGCTGGCAGAACTGTTTATTTGCCAAGTTAGACACAGATTTTGATATTTTATGCTATAMTAAAAGTGACGTGCATGTCCTCAGAGCTTCCTGGTCCTCCTACTAGCATAAAGCTGGTCGATACATGGGGCTTCAATGCTGCTTTGGAATGGACTCCTCCAAAGGATAATGGCAACTCAGAGATCACTGGATACACCGTCCAGAAGGCTGATCAGAAAACAGGGGTATGGCACAAAACTGCTTTAAATGAAACTAGCTCTCTTTGAAGGAGTGCATATCTTCGGAGCTGTTAAGTAACAATGTAAACATTGTGTTACTTTACTTATGTATACATTTTGGTTATCTATACTTTATGCTAGTAATTATTTTTCAGACGACTTTTTACTTCTACTCCTTMAATTCTAAAAAAATGTTTCTTCCATTTCTTTTCTTGTATGTACAGCTGAAACCTGTCGCTTATTTAATTTTCTATTTTTCAACCTTTAACATTTTAGGATAACATCATAGTCATGATCTTTAGAAAGATGTTTTTTTTTGGGGGGGGGGTGTAATAAATATAATTTTGGTAATTCTAACCACTTACTTTTACTCATTATTTTTACTACTTAAGTACTTTTAATACTAAAGCACATTTTATGTCAGAAATTTACTTTTGGTACTTCAGTACAATTAATGTCAAATGTTTGTAATACTTTTACTCAAGAAATATTCTTAGAGGAGACTAACTTTTACAGAAGTCATTTTATGGTAAGATACTTGCACTTTCACTCAGGTATCATTTTAAGGTTATTTATACAACCCTGCACATCGTCCACCACCTCACAATTTGAAGAACAAATCAGCCATTTTTGTGTTCAGGTCAAATAGTTCTGGCAGCCATCTTGAATTCAGCTGACCAAAAGTACATCCAATGACAACTACTAATTTATTAAAATGCATCATGTGTGCAAAGCTAAAAGAATTGTCATGTTGCGTGTCCACGTCCTGCAGGAATGGTTCACCGTGCTGGAGCACTATCACAGACTCTCTGTCACCATCTCAGACCTCATCATGGGCAACTCGTACTCCTTCAGGGTGTTCGCTGAAAACCAAGTGGGCCGGGGCGAGAAGAGCGCTGCCACCAAGAAGACAGCCACAATCCAGAAAACAGGTGACTTCATTAACCTGTGTGTTCCCTTTATGCTCAGGGTCTGGTTTGTTTATATGAAGATGGCTCTAGAGACGAGGCTGCAGCCCTGAATACAGTAATGAGCTGCAGTTAGTCTGTGAGAGTTTAAAGTGAATGCTCGAGGAGTTGAAATGACCTTGGCATTACTTTAAACAGAAGTGGGTAACGCTCGTTGCCACTGCTCAGATTTCACATGAGTTTAACAACCTGTGAAACTATTAAACCCTCCAGTAGTCTGCATGTGTGTGTGCTGAAGTGTGTTTTATGTACCCCTGAAATATCCCTGGTGATGGTCTGTTTATTTTGCAGTCTGTTTATTTTGCAGTCTGCGTGGTTTGTCAGGTAACTTTGTGTTTTGTGTATTGAAATCAGCTCAGTAACTGCATGGTACAATTTTATCACATAAAACAAAACATAGAAACATTCCAATATTAATGCTGTGTTTTAAAAAGAAGAAAAGTATTTCTTCATTGAAGTATTTTTATCAAGTGGACTTTTGCTTCATTTAACTGCAAATGTTTGATGACAATGAGACATTAGAATCAAAATTTTGCAGGTGACTTTTGATACATATTTACCTTCATACATTAGCTGCTGCAACATGACTATTCCAGGATTATTGTGGTTATCTAAGCTATATTTGAGCCCTAGCTTGTAGAGTGCAACTTGAAGCATTGARTCTTTTTTTAATTTCAAGCATTTTGTCAATTGTACCCAGAATTTCTCAAAATACATTTAAATTTTCCACAACCTGCTCATAAGCAGTACTTCATCGAACACAATTTACACACAGCCGCAATAAATATTTGTATTCTCTTCTCAAAATGTTCACAGAATGTACCAGAATGTAAAGTATCGACCACAGTAAACAAAAAAAGTGTTTTGTCTAATATCAATATGTAATTTTCTTTCATAAATAGCATAAAGGTAGTTGTTCTGTATACTTCTAAATAACACCAATKGTAAATTAACATTTCATAAGGCTTTTTTTAGGATTGTTTTAGGATTTTACAAATGTTTCTCCGATGTAGTGATTGATGTTTGTAATGCAGGTATTGTGTATAAACCTCCTGAGTACCAGGAACGTGACTTTAATGAGGCACCCAAGTTTACAACCCCGCTCATCGACCGTGCAGCCACAGTGGGATACACAACCAAGCTGCTGTGTTCTGTTCGTGGAAGTCCCAAGGTCAGTCATACTGGTTCATGGGTCAAAAAGTTCCATTTTTAAACATCCCCTGAAACGAAGTGTACATGAYTTATTTCTGAGTTGTTGCTGAATTTTCCAACTTTTCTTTCATACATGATTTACTATTTTTTATCAGTGCAGATACTTCTTGATMCTACTGAGAAACTATAACTGTAACTATAACTCTGCTATACTGACCGCACTATGTTGCTCACTACATTTAGTTCTTTTTCTGTTCAAGTACACTGATGTGATCATTTTGAGCACTCYCTCTAACCGTACAGCGGTCAGGTTGTTACAGTATATTCTTCTGCTTCAGCCAATACTTTGGCAGGAAGTTAGACGTTCTTAGTAAAGCTATTTTATAACACCATATCTAAATAAACATGAGTACAAGTTAAGTGCAACAATGCATTCTGTGCAACGTCATTTGCCATGGGAAATATTCAAATGARAAGTTTTCATTAAATCCCTTTCTTGTCGTTTCCAGGACAGTGATCATTCTAAGTTTAATGTAGGCAAACAGGTGATGAATAGTTGCAGGTTAATGGCACCAGTTGTCCTTAGGCTTATTGATATTTCAACCATAAACAGTCTCAAAATGTGTCCAGTCCACCCAAGGATCATCAGTAATAATTGCTATTGCACTTTTTCTTCAGATGTTACTGTCACGACTAAACAGACCCACCACTGAGCAGGGCTCACACTGACATGTCTGTCTGAAGTTTGGCATGTTTCTCACTCTTCTTGGCAGCTGCAGTTCCTGTTAAAATGATCCTTACAGTTGTTCAACTGACAGATTAGGTGGGAAGCCAGTGTGGAAATGCTGTTGAGCACGATGTCCTTGGTGAAAGTTCAAAGACAGCTGTGGATGGATGGTCTGCGTATGTCAGTGTGGACGATATAAATTAGCCTGCTAAATCTTTCCTGATTGTCCTTGAGTAGCATGAAATTTGCAAAAATAAAAACATGGGAATTAATGGAAAGTCAAATTGTTTTGTAAAAATAAATTCATTAATCTGAGGGATCAGTACAAAAGACTACTTTAATTTGCTCCTTCAAATGTCTTGTCACAGAATAAAACCATTTTTTCAGCATTATAATAAAAACTAAAATACAGTTTTATTTTAGTTTATGTTGTGTCTACTTTCTTTAACATACTTGTTTTTTTTTATCTTAAAGGCC